TTTCCCTTCAGTTTACTTTCTCTCTCACAGAACTTTCCAGGTAGAGCTACAAAGCCAGGAACGAGGGCAGGGGAGGCAGAGGCTCACGCGGTACCCGCCCCGACACACACATACAACCCTGGTCTGCCGGGGCCATAAAGAAGTCTGCGTTTTTTACACGCCTCTGTCATCTTGGCCTGTGCAGCCCATGCTCTGCCTGCCTTGAGGCAGAGCTCCATCTACTCAGAAAACAGGGAGTGGAGAGGGGATGCCAGCCCTGTCACTCCCCTGCGGCCCCACCATCTCCAGCTGACAGGCAGGCAGGAGAAGCTCTCTCTCTGGTTGGTTTCACTTCCTGGTGCCCAGGGACTTCTCTGATGGGTTTGGTTTGGGTTGAAGACCCAGAGAAGAGTGCTTCCATAGAAAATAAAAGAAATTCAAGAATCTGTCTGTACTCTCTACCACCCCCACCACACCACAAAAGAATGGGACTCGGAAAAATAATGATAACCATAATAATACTTGCAACAATGGTGAGGATAAAGATATAACTAAAATTCACTGAGGACTCATCCCCGCTCAGGCAGTGTCTTAAGCATTTTGATGCAGATAAATTCATTTAGTCATGATGACAACCTCAATGCCAAATGTACCATTATTATCATCATTTTAAAGATGAGGAAATAGGTAACTTCCCTAAATTTGACCAGCTGAAAAGTGGCAGAGCCAGCCTCTGGGCACCCCCCACCTGGCTCCAGAGCCCCTGCTCACCACACCCGGGGCCCCAGGCCTCCAGCTGTAGTACTGATAAGGCTCTCACTCCATTATCCACCACCTACAATACCAACCCTAGATCCCAAACAGCCGCACCCCAAACTATTCTCAAAGTAACCTCCCTATAAGCAGGTGTGCCCTAAGAGTTAAGAGCTGGGGTGGGGCCCAGCTATGTCTCCCACCCAGAAGAAAAACAGAGGGGGCTGGGAGGATGTGAAGCCCCGCCCTTTCCAGTCCCAGCACCAACAGCTGGAGGGTCCCCAGGAAGCCCTCAGTTCACCGTTGGATAAGCTCCAACGGTGCAGCAGCCTGACCCCCGTGTGACTTTTCCTTAAGTGAGTTACATCAGCATCAAGAACATCCTTCCTCAGTGTGGGTGAGGCTGAGCATCTTTTCTAGAAAGGATTCAGGCTCCCTGGCCCAGCTGCCAAGAAGTCGGCAGACCTGGGCACCGACAGGTTGACAGGAGGTTCATTCGCGTCCTCCTCCAGGCCAGGCAGTACTTAACTGCGGACCCCAAGTACGATTCTGTCCCTCCCCTTGGAGGGCTTACAGGGGCACGCTGAGCCCCGCCACCAATGGCTCCCCTCCTGAAGCTGTCACGCCAGGTCCCAGGCAGGCTCCAATCCCACTCGGATCAACAACCAGATCTGCTCCACCACAAAAGCAGCCTGATGTACTCTGGCTGGTCCTCTGGGGAAGATGGGCATGGAGAGGAGGCAGCAATTCCCCCATCATGGCAAAGAATAAACAGGTAGAGCAAGGCAGGTGGTGACCATGGAAGGGGCGGCCATCAGGCCGTCTGAGCCCCAGAGAACATCTGGCTGACTCTGGCCGCCACACCTCTCTGTTCCCACCGCCATGCCACCCTGGACCAATCTGCCAACAGCGCCTGCCTGCGGTCACTGCCGCAGCGTGCCAGCCGGTCTCTCGACTGTGGTCTCTCGGTCCCTCACGAGGGTTTCACTCTACACCTCAGATCTGTGCAGTTTACTGTACATATGTTACGCCTTATTAGAAACTACAGTAAAGCCAACGGTGCAAGAATCTTATTAGCAAAACTTGACAGAGCAGACAAAACAGTTTTCTCCTGTTTTCCCAAACATTAACATTTGAAAGCAATCTACAGATGACAATCTTCAATACGACATATTTGCTTGTGGGTAATAACAAATTGCAGACCATAAAAAACTGAGGACAGGGCTTCCCTGGTGGCACAGTGGTTGAGAGTCCGCCTGCCGATGCAGGGGACACGGGTTCGTGCCCCGATCTGGGAGGATCCCACATGCCGTGGAGCGGCTGGGCCCGTGAGCCATGGCTGCTGAGCCTGCACGTCCGGAGCCTGTGCTCCGCAACGGGAGAGGCCACAACAGTGAGAGGCACGCGTACCGCAAAA